TCACCATGTTGACCAGGATGGTCTCGATCTCTTGACCTTGTGATCCACCCGCCTCGGCCTCCCAAAGTGCTGGGATTACAGGCTTGAGCCACCGCGCCCGGCCTAAAAGAAAATCTTAAAAGTAACCAGGGCTGGCTGGGTGCAGTGGTGCATGCCTGTAATCCCAGCACTTTGGGAGGCCAAGACAGGTGGATCACGAGGTCAGGAGTTCGAGACCAGCCTGGCCAATATGGCGAAACCCCATCTCTACTAAAAATACAAAAATTAGGCCGGGCGCGGTGGCTCACACCTGTAATCCCAGCACTTTGGGAGGCCGAGGCGGGTGGATCACGAGGTCAAGAGATCGAGACCATCCTGATCAACATGGTGAAACCCCGTCTCTACTAAAAATACAAAAATCAGCTGGGCGTGGTGGCGCATGCCTGTAATCCCAGCTACTCAGGAGGCTGGGGCAGGAGAATTGCCTGAACCCAGGAGGCAGAGGTTGCGGTGAGCCAAGATCGCGCCATTGCACTCCAGCCTGGGTAACAAGAGCGAAACTCCGTCTCAAAAAAAAAAAAAAAAATACAAAAATTAGTCAGGCGTGGTGGCAGGCGCCTGTAATTCCAGTTGCTCAGGAGGCTGAGGCAGAGAATTGCTTGAACCCAGGAGGCGGAAGTTGCAGTGAGCAGAGATTGCGCCATTGCACTCCAGCCTGGGTAACAAGAGCGAAACTCCATCTCAAAAAAAAAAAAAGAAGTAAAATCCATGACAACAATGGCATAAAGTACAAGAGGAAAAAGAAAATAAATAGAAAACAAATAAGAAGATAGATTCAAACCTAACCACTATAATAATCACATTAAATGGTCTATGTATATAAACACTCTAATTAAAAGACAGTCACTAGATTTAAAAAAAAAAAAAAGACCCAACTATACCTGTCCACAGGAAATCCACCTTAAATATAAAGATATAGACAGATTAACGAGCTAAAGAAATATATACATCATAGAAAAACTAATTGTAAGAAAGATGACATGGCTGTATTTTTCAAAGTAGACTTCAAAACCTGGAATAAAGAAGTCTATTTTGTCATGCCTGTAATCCCAGCACTTTGGGAAGTTGAGGCAGGCAGACCACTTTAGCCCAGGAGTCTAAGACCAGCCTGGGTAACACGGCACAACCTCATATCCACAAAATTACAAAAAATTAGCCAGGCACAGTGGTACACACTGGTAGTCCCAGACACTCAAGAGGCTGAGGCGGAAGGACCACTTGGGCCTGGGAGATTAAGGCTGCAGTGAATCATGACTGCACCAATGCTCTCCAGCCTGTGTGACACAGGGAGATACTATCTCAAAAAAAAAGTGTTTTTGGAGGTTAAAAAAATCTCTACAAAGAGGCCGAGCGCACCAGCTCACGCCTGTAATCCCAACACTTTGGGAAGCTGAGGCGGGAAGATCACTTGAGGTCAGAAGTTCAAGACCAGCCTGGCCAACATGGTAAAACCCTATATCTACTAAAACTACAAAAATTAGCCAGGCATGGTGCCATGTGCCTGTAATCCCAGGTACTTGGGAGGCTGATGCAGGAGAATCACTTGAACCCGAGAGGTGGAGACTGCAGTGACCACGATCTCACCTTGCACTCCAGCCTGGGCAACAGAGTGAAACTCTGTTTCAAATAAAGAAAGAAAGAAAAAAAAGAGAAAGAAATCATGTATGACACAAACAAATGGAAAAACAGTCCAACCTCATGGATTGGAAGAATCAATATCTTAAAAATGGCCATACTGCCCAAAGCAATCTATAGATTCAACACTCTTCGTATCAAATTACCAACATGATTTTCCACAAAACTAGAAAAAACTATCCTAAAATTCATAGAACCAAAAAAGAGCCTGAATAGCTAAAGCAATCCTAACAAAAAGAACAAAACCAGAGGCACCATATTACCTAACTTCAAACTATACTACAGGGCTACAGAAACCAAAACAGCATGGCACTGGTATAAAAACAGACACATAGACTGAGGCAACAGAATAGAGAACCCAAAAATAAAGCCACACACTTAAAATCATATGATCTTCAACAAAGCTGACAAAAATAAGTGACAGGGAAAGGACTCCCCATTTAACAAATGGTGTTGGGATAACTGGCTAGCCATATGCAGAATGAAACAGGACCCCTATCTTTTATCATATACAAAAATTAACTCAAGTTGGATTAAAGATTTAGATGTAAAACCTCAAACTATAAAAATCCTAGAAGAAAAGAAAAGAAATACCATCCGGACATTGGCCTTGGCAAAGAATTTATAACTAAGTCCTCAAAAGCAAGTGCAATGAAAACAAAAATTGACAAGTGTGAGCTATTTAAATTGAAGATATTCTGCATGCAAAAGAAACTACCAACAGAACAAACAATCTACAGAATGGGAGAAAATATTCACAAAAATGCATCCGACAAAGGCCTAATATCCAGAATCTATACGGACATAAACAATTCAGCAACCAAAAACCACCCCATTAAAAGTGAGGAAAGGATATGAACAGATACTTCTCAAAAGAAGACATACAAGCAACCAAAAACATGAAAAAATGCTCCATAACACTAATCATCAGAGAAATACAAATCAAAACCACCATGAAATGCCATCTCACACCAGTGAGAATGGCTATAAAAAAGTCAAAAAATAGGCCGGGCGCGGTGGCTCAAGCCTGTAATCCCAGCACTGTGGGAGGCCGAGGCGGGTGGATCACGAGGTCAAGAGATCGAGACCATCCTGGTCAACATGGTGAAACCCCGTCTCTA